GGGAGAAGGACCTCCACCAGCGAAGCGAGAGCAGTACCCGTGGGGTCACTAGGACCTTGAAGCTGGTGTCGGATGTTCCGTTCCTCTGGTGGGGAAGGAGGAACCACTGCAGGTCTCTGGCGTGGAGGCGAGCCCAGGGGACGATCCCGATGCAGTATATGAGCTTCCCGAGGAGCCTGGAGAGAAGTGCTACGGGAACAGATCGAAGCCTGCGAATCTCCTGCACTGATTCCATGATGCTGTCTCTACGCTCCTGAGATAGAAAGACCCTACCCTCCACTGAATCTATAATGGTTCCCAGATGTTGGAGTCTGGTGGAGGGAGTTAGGTGGCACTTCTCGAAGTTAATTGAGAACCCCAGTGATGCCAAGGTACTGATGGTGGTAGTGAGATATCTCTGCGCGGGAAGCTGAGGGGGCTAGGACTAAGATGTCATCTAAATAACAGTGGAGGCAAACCGGAAATGAACGGAGGTAGGCTGCAGCCGCGGCCATTACCTTAGTGAAGGTTCTGGGAGCAGAAGCCAGACCGAAAGGAAGGGCCCTGTATTGGTANCCGGGTCCTCATTTTACCCACCTCGGAAGGATGGAAGGCTGAGTCAACCCTGAGCCGGTGAGATTTGAACAGCCGAACTGCAGAACTGCAGTCGGTAGAAGTAGCCTGCAGTGCTGCATTTAACCACTGCGCCACCTCGGCTCTAGTATGAGGAATTACATGATGGAATGCTTATAAAAACAAGCAAAGGAAGAGAAAAGTTGGAAAATCAATGCTTTCTATTTCATTGAGAGGCTCATATACACATGCATGCACGCACTCAACAGTAGGGAAAATTTGGGTGCATTTGAAGTGTTTTTAAATATCAGTATAACTTCGATTTCTTAGAATTTTTATTGATACTGCTTGTTTTCTATTTTAATATGATTTGATTTGTTCTTGTATACCATATTAGTTTTTCTATTCAATAAAGCAGATGGAAAGTATTTTCTGATTAAAGATCTCGTGCAAAGAAAAAGACTAAAACAATAGCTTAAGCATTTTAACTATTATATTTCAATAAATAGCATGGAAAAATGAGGATAATACCGGTATTAGCAGAAAGGGAAATGCCTTATTTAACTGAGTAAACTCTCAGTTTAGCAGTCTTTATATTGATATTTAACAACATTCTGTATTTATAGACACATTTTCCTTTCATTATTCAAGGGTTTACTCTGTTAAATAAATCATAATTTGATTTTGGCATTTGTTTCAAAATATGTGCAGTAGAAGCAATTTCTAAGCAGACGTAGGCTTTCACACCTGCAGGCAAGTAACTTATCACTTGCTATTTGTACATCTGTTCCCGAGACATGTAATGCTACGGAAGCTCTCACGTTTCCATTGGAAATGTGTTTGCTGTCCCTTTCATTCAAAGATAATTTGCCAAAAAGAACCAAGTGTGCTTTTGTTCCACATAAAAAGCCTAAGAAGAAGGGTGAGCATGCCCACAGGATCTTACGATGCCTCCAAAAGGGGTATAAATTTGCTTTCTGATGCACTGATTGCTAAAGTAAACAAGTATATTTATTGGAAATAATTAGATAACAAAATATGTTTTGCAAACTAAAGAGAAATCTTGCAAAGTCATAGGGGATTGTGGTTTTGTTTGCTGAAATTTGATGGCTCACTAGGTCTCTACCTTATTTTCATTTTTGAAATCCAGAGGCAGATTATATATCTTATGGTGTCATCTATGAAGCTTCATGATCTTTCATCCATTATAAGTATACACACATGTACCATTACTCTCTGCTCTAGTCAATAGTTTGCTGTCTGGGGAATTATCTGTTCATAGATAACCTACCCAGCATAAATCTTTAGTAGTTAAGTATTTAGATTTATTTAGAATGTTCCTTATAACATTTATCTTATAAGGAAAAAACATTTATAGCAATAGCAGTTAGACTTATATACCGCTTCATAGGGCTTTCAGCCCTCTCTAAGCAGTTTACAGAGTCAGCATATCGCCCCCACAGTCTGGGTCCTCATTTCACCCACCTCGGAATAATGGAAGGCTTGAGCCGGTGAGATTTGAACCGCTGAACTGCAGATCGCAGTCAGCTAAAGTGACCTGATTTATTTAACTCTCTTGGTTAAATTAACTATGAATACATTTTCTA